TTCTCTTCTCTTCTCTTCTCTTCTCTCCCAGAGAAGAATGTTTGTCTGCATGCATGTTTGTCAAGGAGAGGGCATTGGATCCCCTGGAACTGGAGTTTCAGATGCTTGAGAGCTGCCATGCGGGTGCTGGGAATCAAGGGCAGCCAGTGTTAACTGTGAGCCATCTCTCAAGTCCCATAAGTTGACTCTTGTTTTGAGACAGGGTCTCACGATATAACCCTGACTGACCTAGAACTCACAGAGGTACCCGGTTTTGTCTCCAGAGCGCTGGGATTAAAGGTGTGCACCTCTGAGCCTGTGGCCTCTAGAGCTTCTTTCGCCCTTATCCACTCCTCGCCGGCTCCCTCCTCCTTTCCATACACCGAATCAAGCTCATCTATACGCTTCCTGTATGCTCAGGCCAAAATCCGTAGTCTCAGAGTTCAAGTAGTCTCAGAGTTCAAGACTCTGCACTTGCAAAGATAAACTACTTCGAGATTTGAAAACTAAAAACCGGGAGGGTTTCAGACAGTCGGTTACGTGGCTTTGAAGCCAGTCACCCGCTCGACACCAGGTGGTGAGGCCTCTAACAATCGGCCACTCAGAGAAGACGTCCTGTTAGCTGCGAATTTATTTGGAGCTCATTGGTTCATGTCTCTGTCAGTCACACGGGGGCCTGGACATGGCGGTCGCCGGCAGCTGGCAGGTCAGTATGCTGGGCTCCTGGGTTGGGTGGTGTTAGGCTACCGGTTGTGCCCGCGTTCATGCTGTCCCTTCCCACAGCCTCCCCGGCCTTGCGAGGTCTACCGCGCCGAGTGGGAGCTCTGCCGCAGCGCTGGCCACATCCTACATCACTACTACGTCCACGGCGAGCGGCCCGACTGCAGGCAGTGGCTGCGCGACCTGGCCAGCTGCCGCGAATGGGAGGAGAGTCACAGCCCCCGGGCCCAGGTGCGCTCAGGGTGTGGGTGTGTGCACAGATTCTTCGGGGACATCCCTCTTGTGCTTTGCTCCTGAGAAGAACCCCAAACTGCGGCATCGAAGGGACTTTAGACCGTGTCAAGTACAAGGAGGGAGGCAGAAAGAAGGGAGGTATAGAGAGGCTAGGGGAGAGGAAGGACAACTGCCCAGCGTTAAGGTTAGGACAGGACAGAGAAAAAGAGCCAAGGTGCCCGGAGCATGAGGGTGGGCTGGCTGTAAGGGCGTAAGAGTGAACCTGAGAGTACCTAAAAATGTTCAAGCACGTGTGTTTGCAGTTACCTTTGGAGGCCAGCCTGGCTCTGAGAGCGTGGAGAGTACTGTAGAGGACAGAGACCAGTACTGAGGCTGGCCCTTCGCTAGGGAGGTGTGAAGAAACCTCTACTTGTTCCAAATGGCATGCGGAATGATGGACCAAAGAAAGGCTTCCACTTAATCTAGCTAAGTGAGCCAATGACTTTTTTTGGGGTCACGACACAAAGGCAGCAGCACTCTGATCGCTGAACCTCCCCGACACCTTCCCTTCGGAGTAGCTCTGGAGTCGCCTCTCCCAGTCATTGTTACTGCTTTTATAGTTTTGGGTAGGGAGCTGGTGAATTTTTTTAAAAATATTTATTTATTTATTACGTATACGATATTCTGTCTGTAGGTCAGAAGAGGGCACCAGACCTCATTACAGATGGTTGTGAGCCACCATGTGGTTGCTAGGAATTGAACTCAGGATCTTTGGAAGAGCAGGCAATGCTCTTATCCTCTGAGCCATCTCTCCAGCCCTGAGCTGGTGAATTTTTAACCCTGAGCTTCTTGCTTCGAAATTTCATGAGCTTCCTGTGTCAGTGAGCCTCTCTCTTAACTCCAAACGGGAGTGATTGAAAGCCTAGGAAATAGCTAAGACACGTTAATTAAATCCATTCATTACATGAATAGTTTAGGGATCCATTCATTAAACAAGTAGTTGTCTCCTTGAGTGATCTCTGATACAGGGTGGAAAAGTGAGCCCTGCCTTCCTGGGGCACACTCCCGTCTGGAGTGTGGTATTGCTTTCATGGTCACTGTGATGGGGAAAAAGGGAACGGAAACTCCAGTACACAGCTGGCATAGGAATATCCAGAAACAAGAGGTCCAATGTTGAAGACATTCGTAAACATTTTGAAACAGACAAACCAATGAGGAAAACAAGTGGCTAAAACATTTTTTTTTATGCAGAAAACAGAAACCCCCTAGTGAAAGTAAAAAACATGGCAGAAAGCTTGTTTGTAGGGCAAGAAATTGGATACTTACTGTCTGCAGCTATAGATGAGCTTTCATAAATTGGGGTAAAAAGCAAAAATGTTTCTGAATAGAGAAATGGGCAAAGGTCACGGAGAAGCAATTCACCATGACACTCAGCGCACAGAGCAATTATTTATTTACAATTTTAAAGTGCTTTTACTCTTATTTTATGTGTGTTTTGCCTGTATATGTCAGTATTAAGTACATATGCTGCCTGAGGATCCCTGGAACTGGGCTTCAGATGGTTGTGAGCTGCCACATGGGTGCTGGAAATCAAACCCCAGTCCTCTGGAAAACCAACTGGTGATCTTAACTGCTGAGTCATCTTACCAGCCCCTATAAACAAAAATAAGTCTTTGTATATGTTTGTGTATGTCACATGTATGTGTTTGCGTGTGCACATGTGCACATATGGCATGCAGAGGCACCCTTGGCATCAAGCATTTTCCCTAGTCACTCTCCACCTTATAAATTGAAGCAGGATCTCTCACTGAGCTTGAACTTCCCTGTCTCCGCCTGCTGAGTGCTGGAATTACAGGCATGCGCCAACGCACTGAGCTTCTGTTTGCTTCTTAAACAATAATGATCTTTTTAGAGACAGGATCTGGTTGTATAGCTCAAGCTGGTTTGAAACTTCAAATCCTTTTGACTATGCCTGCTAACTTCTGTGAATACAAATAGTCACTACCACGCCCAGCTTAAGAGGCCTGCGTAGCACCTAAGACCTCACCGGGGTCACCCCTGCCATAATAAGGGGGACCTTTTACTCACACCCTGTGCAGAGTCCAGGAGTAACTTCAGACTGCTGTCTCTTCCTCACTCAGTGTCCGCGCTCTACAGACTCACTCCAGACTCTCCAGGTCAGCTGTAGCTGAGGCCTAGGAAATGTTTGTTATCAAGTGGCTGACGTCAGAGTCTGGACATGGTTGTGCGTGCTTATTTGCTTAGGAAATGGAGGCAGCAGTATCAGAAATAGAAGGTCAGACAGAGTGATCATGAGGCCAGCCTGAGACACTTAAGACCCTGTCTAAAAATCCAAAGGACACAATAAAACTGCTGAATAAGATGATACATTAAGATGACCTATGCTGCAGAGAAAGAATGGCCTAGAAGTGTGTGTGCTAAAGTGGAACAGTGGTCAAGGTCCGGTTTGTAGAGTCAGCTGAGCTGCAGAGCTGTGTGTGCTCCCATCTGTTCCTCTCTTCAGCAAAGTGCCAAGGAAGAGAGTGGTGTAGGTGCCATGTGATGGTACTAGGGGGTTGGGATCCAGTGGTAAAGCAGGTAGTGACCAGAATCTCATTTGTACAGCGATCCCTCTGTGAGAGTGAGCAGGCCCGGGTCCAGGCTGCTCGGAAGCACACCCTGGTATGGGCCCTGAGGCAGAAGCCCCCTGCAGACTGGAACCTCCCTCTACCACTGGAGAAGGACAAGTGATGAGGGACGAGCAACTGTTGCCCTGGACTTGGACTAGCTTCCACCTGACCTGGAACACAGAGGAAGACATTTCCAGGCCTGACTGCCATTGTCCATCTGTCCCCGGGCGTCTCACCACTGGAACACTCTGAAAGACACCTGTGTCCACAATGGCAGGAAGCCAAGCCCTGTGGCAAGTACCTGTGAGCAGCCTAGCTGGTCCATCTTGTCCATGCCACCACCCCTGAGAACAGCCACGCCAGAGGTGGCAGTCCTAATGTGTGAGACTCTCAGGTATACAGTGGCAGCCCTGCCCTGTGTGGGCACGTGGCACAGTAGTCAGAACAAGGTTGCTAAATGGCTCTGCTGCACATGGCTCTCTTTGACCATGAGAAATGGACCTCGACGGCTTGGGTTTGCTGATTACCGTATTATCCAAGCATGGAGCTCTTACTTGCTCGGCTGCCCTGGAGATACAGTAGAACGTGCTTAGTGGCAGGGCAACTTGCCCCTCTGCACCAGCACCTTTTACTGGTTTTTGCAGACTTTTAAAAAGAAATACACATGGTCTTGCAGGAACCACAGAATCTGGGGTCAAGAAATCCAAGTCACTAAAAAAAAAGAAAGAAGTTCAAGTCCAAGGAATATGGGATTTAGGTCTTCTGATTTCTCCTCATCGTTCATGTATTAAAAAGTGTTTCACATGTTCGATTCCAAAAGCAACCTGAAAATTAAAGACACGTTTGTTACACTTTGTACCTGTCCTAGTTAGAGTATCTATTGTTTCGATGAAACACCAAGTTGGGGAGGAAAGGGTTTATTTGGTTTGCACTTTCAGATTGTAGTCCGTCATTGGAGGGACAGGAACTCAAACAGGGCAGGAACCTAGAGGCAGGAGCTGATTCAGAAGCCATGGAGGGGTGCTACTTACTGGTGTGCTCCTCATGGCTTGTTCAACCTGATTTCTTATAGAACTTAGGACTACCAGCCTAGGAATGGCACCATCCACAGTGGACTAGGCCCTCGCCTATAGATCACCAAGAAAATGCCCACTGGGTAGTAGAGGCACATGCCTTTAATCCCAGCACTCAAGAGGCAGAGGCAGCAAATAGATCTCTGTGAGTCTGAGGCCTGCCTGGTCTACATAGTGAGCTTCTGGACAGCCAAGGCTACACAGAGAAACTCTTTCTCAAAAAACAAAACATACAAATGCCCTACAGCTGGAACTTATGGAGGCGTTTTCTCTATTGAAAGAAAGATTTCCACCGGGCGGTGGTGGCTCACGCCTTTAATCCCAACACTTGGGAGGCAGAGGTAGGCAGATCTCTGTGAGTTTGAGGCCGGCCTGGGCTGTTCGAGGACAGACTCCAAAGCTACAGAGAAACCCTGTCTTGAAAAATCAAAAGGAAAAGAAAGATTTCTTTCTTTTTTTAATATTTATTTATTTATTATGTATACAATATTCTGTCTGTGTGTATGCCTGCAGGCCAGAAGAGGGCACCAGACCTCATTACAGATGGTTGTGAGCCACGATGTGGTTGCTGGGAACTGAACTCAGGACCTTTGAAAGAGCAGGCAATGCTCTTAACCTCTGAGTCATCTCTCCAGCCCAAAAGATTTCCTTCTTTCATATAATTCTAGCTCAGTGATTCTCAACCTTCCTAATGCTGTGACCCTTTAATACAGTTCCTCATGTTGTAGTGACCCCCAACCATAAAATTATTTTTGTTACTACTTCATAACTGTAATTTTGCTAGTGTTATCAACCATGACGTAAATGTCTGATATGCAATCCCTGTGAAAGCATGATTTGACCTCCAAAGAAATCTCAAACCACATATGTAAACACATACAAACATGCCATTTTCAGGGGCAGTCACTGTGAGGTGGGGAGTCTTCAGCTTAGCTGCTGCTGTTTCAAAATGAGCATTTCCTGGCAGTGAGGGCCGAGAAGGTGCTAGAAAGTGGCATTCTGCATGTTCTCTCTAGAAGGGCAGTAGTTACCTTGAGCCAGCTCCTATACCAGTTCATAAGGGAGTTCTCGTGCAGGGACACTTCCTGTCACCTGCTCTTTTGTTCCAAGCTGTAAATACCACACCAGCATAGAACTTGCATAGACTTTTCCTGCATTTATGCTGTGTTCATTCATTTTTGTTCTTTTTTCAGTCTTGAGAAACAAAAATAGGACATTATGTAAGGGGGTCTCGGAGTCAGTACAGAATATATCTCAGCACCAAGGAGATTTATTACCCTGGAGGGACAAGTGTGTGTGTGGGAGAGGGGGAGGGGGCTGCCTCTGGATTGAACAAAGACAGACAGTAGGTGTTTCTGCAAGAGTGGTTTGGTTTGGTGGGGTTTTTTTTGTTTTGTTTTTTGAGACAGGGTTTCTCTGTAGCTTTGGAGCCTGTCCTGGAACTAGCTCTTGTAGACCAGGTTGGTCGCAAGAATGGTATTTAAGGAGAAAGGGGGAGTCTGTGCTAGGGTGGGTTGGTATGTCCTGATTGGACAGGTTAGCCAGTGTAGCCGAATAATGAATTTTAATTGCTGGATCTTTGAGTTTTAGTGAGGCATAAGGAAGTGGCCAGATGAGGGAATAGACCTTGTGGCTAGCTTTCGGAATGTAATCTAATGGTTTAGCAAGGGACAGGGAAGGGGAAAAGACAAGACCTCCTGGCCCCATGTCTGTAACGACTGGGCTTGTTAGAAAGCCCTTCACATTGTACATGCTAGATGCATACTCTACCACTGAGCTATGCCAAACAAGATCACAGCTTTGAAACTGAGAAAAGTTCCTATGGTACTTTACGGGAAAGACATACACATTAAACATCAGTAGTCTCTGGCTCAGAGGTACGTAACTTGCTTGCAGGCACAAGGACCCAAGTTTGATCTCCAAGCACTGAAGTAAATAAAAAGAGTTCAAACCAGTGTGATGGTGTGCCGTGCTGTGATCCAAGTACGTGGAGGAGGCAGAGGCAGAAGGATCAGGAGTTCAAGACCATCTTTGGCTATATGAGACCTTCTCTGAAAAACAAACAACAATAAAACCAAACAAACAAAAAGCCCCTAAAACAATGGTAAATAATACAACAGAAGTGCACACGATGAAAGTGGAGCCGTGCCTCAAACTCTTTGGACAGAACTCCATAGTTAAAGTGTATTACACAAGCTTCACATAGGGTTTTGTTTTGTTTTGTTTTTGAGACAGGGTCTCACTACATAGCTTTGGTTGTTGTCATGGATCTCACTCTGTAGACCAGGCTGGTCTTGATCTCACAGAGATCTGCCTGCATTTGCCTCCCAAGTGCTGGGCTAAATGTGTGTGGTACTCTGCTTGGCTAGCATAAGTTTTCTTTCTTTTCTTCTTTTTTTTTAGATTTATTTATTTGTATACAATAATCTGCCTCCCTGTATGCCTGCAGGCCAGAAGAGGGTGCCAGATCTCATTACAGATGGTTGTGAGCCCCCATGTAGTTGCTGGGAATTGAACTCCGGACCTCTGGAAGAGCAGCCAGTGCTCTTAACCACTGAGCCATCTCTCCAGCCTCTATCACAAGGGTTCTTATCTAAACTGTGGAGAACAAATTGCTATTTTCATGAAGTTGATATACATATAACAGCAACTTGGATAAAAGCCAAAGAAAATGCACTGGTTTTGAAAAAAAAAAAAACCTTGGGGGACTGGAAAGATGACTTAGCCATTAAGAGCACTTGCTGTTCTTCCAGAGGATGCGGGTTCATAACCATTTTAATTCCAGTTTCAGGGAATCCAATACCCTCTTCTGACCTCTGATGCATCAGGCATGTAGTAGTGCACACACATGCATGCAGGCGAAACACTCACACATAATAAAAACGTTGTATAAGTCTAATAAAAAGTTAAAATATATTCTAGTATTTAATAAAAAAATCTTAAAAAGGATACACGTAGAAGTCATGGGACAGGGATATGGGGAGTGGGAGATCCGCTAAGGCGGACCATGGTGAAAACCCCACACAGCTGGGTTGTGATTCTCCAGGGCTACATAGTGAAATGTGTACAATCAGATGCACATATAGGTGAACGCAGATATAACTGAGGGAGTTGAAATGCTCTGTGGAGTAACAAGGTGAGTTTCTGGATCCTGACACTGTTCTTTAGTGTGTTGTTTAAACACATTAGTGACAAACTGAGTCACAATAATGTGTCGGTGTTCCATTAAGGAAAAAAATACTTACCCTTAGCATTATTAAACCAAGAGCAAGTTCATATTTGAATTGTCTACTTTTTGTTCCTTGTGCCTCTGTCTGTTGTGTGAGTCTATCCCTGTGTCTGTCTGTTGTTTCTATGTGTCTGTCCCTAACAAAGGGTTTTGCTGTTATTGAACCACACAGAAAACATCACATGGGGAAGGAATGAGGGATACTTTACAGAAATATTTAAGAGTTTTACAAGGGATTAAGTGACTGACTCCACCTGAACAAGATAACCAACAGAATTACAAAAGTCACCAATACCCGGATATTCATTTTGTAAGATTGTTCTCAACTTCTATTTTCTGGTTTCAGCAAAGGACACACAAGCACTACTCTGGCCAAGGGCATGGAAGGAAGAGTAGATAATTTAAGATAACATCTGGGACAGGTGGAGCACGCCTTTAATCCAAGCACTTGGGAGGCAGAGGCAGACAGCTGTCGGTGAGTTCAAGGCCAGCCTGGTCTACAAGGCCAGCCTGGTCTACAAGGCCAGTTTCAGGACAGCCAGGACAAACCCTGTCTCAGCCGGGTGGGTGCTGCACGCCTTTAATCCCAGCACTCAGGAGGCAGAGGCAAGTGGATTTCTGTGAGTTCAAGGCCAGCCTGATATACAAAGTAAGTTCTAGGACAGGCTCCAAAGCCACAGAGAAACCCTGCCTCAAAAAGCCAAAAGAAAGAAAGAGAGAAAGGAAGGAAGGAAGGAAGGAAGGAAGGAAGGAAGGAAGGAAGAAAGAAAGAAAGAAAGAAAGAGAAAGAAAGAAAGAACCCTATCTCAGAAAACAAAACAAAACAAACAAACCAACAAAGGTTACAGCTGGGCATTAGTTTAGGTTGTAAAAGTTGATTACATGGGAAATGTAAGGCAAGTAAAGTTGTGACGTTAAAACAAGTAAAGTTGTTCTCTTAAAGGCAGGTTACCCAATCAGGTTGAGCATACAGTAGGACCGCAGTCTTAAGTCTTAGTAACCTCGGGGTGAATTAACTCTGGATGCGAAGTCCAGAAAAAGTTCCAGTCTCTGAGGGAGTAAGAAGTCTTCGCATCACGGCCGTCTCTCTTTCTCGTTTTACTGAAGAAGCATGACCGTGGGAGGCAGTCACTGATGAAGATGAAGTCGCACACACGGAGCTGTGGTGTCCTGTGGGGGCAGCCTGCTGACAAAGGCGCGGTAGAATTCTGAGGAGTCCTTAAAAGTCCTGTAAAAGAGCACATGTGAAGATTTAATCCTGAAAACCAACTCCCAGTGTTTAGCCATCAGTTATCAAACATGACTTTATGTTTATTTGAAGATAGGAATTACAGTTGCTATGGTTTGCGAAGGCTCCTGCTGCCATAGCAGTGATAACTGTGGCAGCTGTCATAGCTGCCAGAACCATCCAATTAATCTCTTTTAAGAATATGCGTTCCAAGGCATAACTAAGTTATAAAAGCAGAGATTGCCCGTGCCATGGATGAGTCAGGATAACAGGAGTCCAGGCAGGAATCAGTTCAAGAATTAAGGCCAGGAGACAAAATTGCAGTGTA